CTTATCATTAACAGAAATTATTAATTATTTAAAAATAATTTTCTTTTAATATTTATTTAATATTATGACATAAATTTAACAAAATAATTTTTTTCTATTTAATTAAATTTTTTTCTTATTTATAATTAATATATAAAATCTTTGCAAACTTTAACATAATAAAAATCTGTGATTTTTTTTCATTATAAACAAAAGGAATATTTTTGTTTTATGTTTAAAAAAAATTAAGTTAATAAAAAAAATTAAATAATTAGGTTTCTTAACAAAATTCTAAATTTTTGAAAATTTATTGTTTATTTTTTATTAAATTTCCTAACAATTTTTTTTTTTCTTTGTTTTATTAATAATTCCCTTGTTTTATTTTATTTTCTTAAACTTTAAAAATATTCTTGTTTTTAATTTTTTTTTTTTTTATAAAAAAAAATATTTTTTAAAGTATTTTTTACCCCCTTAATTATTTTATTTTTATTATTTAGACAAATTTTTATTTTTTTATTTTTTTGATAATTCAACTTTTGAGTTTTAATTGGTCTTCTCTTTATCGAGCCTTTTTTAAAATTATTACTAATTTTTTTATATATATTTTTCGTTTTCAAGTAACTTTTACTTTTTAATTTTAAATTGTTTTATTTTATTATTATTATTTTTTTTTTGTAACTAAGTTTTTAATTATTTTTTAGAATTAGTTTTTTCTTTGTTGGCAGTTCTTTTCTTATTTAAAAATCGTTTATATAATTTTTTTTATAATTTCTTTTTAAATTTTATTTAAATATTAAATATTTATTTTTATTTGTATTATAAAGTAAATCGTTTCCACTATACATATACATTTAATTAAATACATTAATTAGTTTTTTTTTCTCGATTTTTTCTTTTTTTTTTTGTCTAAATTTAAAATTCCATTATGTACCCATTTTTGTATTAATTTTATTTTTATAACGGAATTATGTCTTTTTTTATAATTTTGAAATGTGTAATAATTAAAAAAAGAAACAAATTATGTTTAACAATTGAAACATTTCATAAGGGGCATTTTTCGAATATCACTTTAAATCTTTATTCGAAAATCATAAAATTACTCCTTTGATCCGCAACATGGTCCTATATAATACAAGCTTTGAACCATGTTGTTTTCAAAAAACTGAACATGATCCATGACTGCATTCCAATAATTTTTGCAGCGATATTAGAGTTTCGATAGAGGGCGAGGCCTTCAGACGAACGGATCTCCTCTTAAGAAGAATTGACCAAAGGCGGTAATAGGGCATGCCATGAATTTATACTGGTATGGCCAATAGCATACCAGACACAGAATTTGTCTGGACTTTACGACTCTAATCCCAGATAGAATATCATGGTTAAGCGGAACTTTGGATCAAATCCCTTAGGAATCCTTGTGGTAAACAGATGTCTTCGGAAATACTGCTGGCCTAGGATCTATATAGAAAATCCAGAAAAGTTTCTAAGCAGAAGTGAAATAATGCATGTTAACAACTTACCAACAGCCTGAAGTCAATGTGATATTGATATTAGGTAATAGGGGCAATAGCAACAGAATTTGTCAGGAACTTTACGACACTAATCCCAGATAAAATATTATGGTCAAGCGGAACATTAGAGCAAATACCCATAGGAATATGGTGGTACAGAGATGGCTTTAAAAACACGTTATGTTTTCGAGTTTAAAGTTTGAACTCGGATATACAAAACGCCTGGAATTTACATAGAATATATATAAACCGAAGCTTCATATATACCGACAACCGTTATGTTAAAGTTAAAGAGTCTTAACGAGGCCGCTAACTATAAAGGGAATTCGAGAAAGTTAACCTGACGAAAGCAATGCCGTTCAATCCAATGAGGGCTGAATTAAAAACGAGTTCTAGATTATTCTAAACTTTCACTCGGGATAATGAAACGGTGGGTTGAACCATAAACATACTATGTGTTGACCTTAACAGCTTCCCTCCCGGGGTATGTTACCTTGATGATCTTTCCGCATCTTGGTGTTATTGCAATAAAGGATAAAATAGGTGCTACCAATACCTCTAGTCGGTGGATTGAACCATGAACATACTATGAGTTGACTCTAACAGCTTGTCACTTTGATGATTTTCCCGCATCTTGGTGTTATTGCAATCAGGAGAAAAAGAGGTGCTACCAATACCTCTAGTCTATCGGAAACTCTAAAATAGTGATGAACAAATGTATTCTCGGTCTTACCTTGTAATGATTTGACATAAGGTAGACATGAGAGAGACACATAATCTGGTGCCGCTAGCCCACAGGGCAGAGTTTTGGACTTTGTCTTGTTCTGAGTATTGGAGAGGTCCCTTCGGGGTGCACACGGTGGCTATGGTTTAAACCCGAATTCGCGGGAAAAGAACGATGGTTAAAGGACTGATACACGGTAAAGTCTATAATTCGGGATAAGTTAGGTGCTGTTGCCGGGCATGTTTCCTTGATGAAAGACCCTCATCTTGGTGTATTGCAATCCCGGGGTAAAGAGGTGTTACCAGTACCTCTAGTCTGCCGGGACTACAAATTGGTGGTGACATTTCACTCCATGGTTAGTCCTTGGATGGTTTGACATGGAATAATCTGGTACTACGAGTGGCCAGTTGCCTGCAGGACGTAGTCCTGGCTGATCAAGTGGTTGAAATTCCTTCGGGATCTACGTTGTGGCTGTGGTTTAAACCCAAATTAGCGGAAAGGGGATGCATGGTTAAAAGATTGATACACGGTTAAATATAAAATTTTCGGGATAAGTTTCTGTTAGGACTCATAGTTTCTAGGAGCGGTACAAATCACAGGTCAAGGCTGTGGATTAATAAAATTTTGGAATTGAGCTGAGAATGCAAAGATTGGGTATGTTATTGAGTGAGATGTATCATTCGGATACTTGTATTGATGAACGAAAGGGATCCTGAGTTGTAACTGTGGAGATGTCGGCATGACAGAAGGAGTGACGGTTGAAATGTTGGTGAAATTGGTTGAGACGCTTGTCCGACCATCCCATCTACGTGGTTGTAAACAGAAGTGATGTTTTTACATCTCGAAAGTGCAGCAATGGTCAGAAATTAAACAGCTCGAGTACCTCAGCGAAGTGCTTATCCATGGACTGAACCATGTATAAAAATTGCGGTGGTGAGTGGTCAAAAAAACTCATCCTGTGGATGAAAAAGACCATCGTGAAATTAGGCCTTTAAGGCAGGCTTTTACGTAAAGCACTTCGACATCTTTACCCTAACAGCTGGTTCTCAGAATGAACAAGTCCGAGGTAAGTGTGATCGTACATATTCTGAGTGAATAAAGCAAAGTAATCTATCGTTAAAGCGTTGCCCTGAAGGAAATGGTAATGGTGTGACGATCTCTGCTATGTAGTATACGGCTATAGTAACACGACATGCAAAACTTCAATAGACCATTAAAGTAAGATAGAAGATCAGTTCAACGACAAGATAATGGACGATGCAATTGCTTCCAATGGCAAACATTTAGTAGAGAGCGTGAGTAAGCCGCGAGTTTAGCAATTGTCGATGATCATGAGATTAACTGCACACCAATGTAGTTGCACTCTAAAGATCTTGGTGGAAAGTATATTTCGTCTATAGGACTTCGCTAATCACAGGTCAATAAGAGCGATATTCCTCTACCTGCGCAATCCAGACTCGCTTTAAGTGACTTCACTACATTCGTTAGAGATACCATGTAATCATTTAGCTTGGTTTCAATAGTTTTAAACGAAATAGTATCCTCCTGGTTCCAACAAATACAGGGCATCACTTTGCCACTATGGTATTGATCTAGTTGGTAGACAGAGCTTCCCTTACAATTTCCATTGAATTAAGATAGAAGATCCTGGTCAACGACAAGATAATGGAAGACGCAATTTCTTCCAATGGCAAATATTTAGTAGAGAGCATGTGGCTCGAGTGTAGCAGTTTGTGCGATGATCAAGAGATTAACTTCACACCTATATGGTTGCACTCTGATGATCTTGGTCTTCTCAATTTCAATTCGAATCAAAATTTTCTCCGTTTGGCAACTTTGGTATTCTGCATTCGTACGTAGGTACGATCGTAACGCAGAATACACACATTCGTAAAGCATTGAAACGAATTGCTTCTTCTTTTTCTTACGATTCAGTTTTTTGTTGGAATACCTTTTTTCGATCGTTGCGTAACTGAATGCGTAAACGTAATCGAAATGCAGAATAGGGGTGAATATTGTCATTATTGACCACGCACAGTGTTTTAGAAACTTTTATTCTTGTAAATAATTCGGTATCTCTGGAACTATTGGAGATATCGGGGGAGCTCGAAAACACCTAAGCTACACCAAGTGAAATTGCATTACAATATCTCTAATAGTTGTAGAGACAATAAATTATTTCAAAAATTCGAAGTTTCTAAACCACTGTTCTACCAACTATAGTTTTGAAACATTTTAACTGATCACTTATGAAAAAAGCCCCAAAGTATGTTAAATATTTTGAAAACATTTCGTTATATATATGTGTGTGTTAATTGTTTAACTAAACTAAATGAATAAAAATTAAACAATTACTTACTTTATTTACAAAGTTATGAACAATTTGAATGAATTAATTTTAATCCTAAATTTCGGTTCAATTATTTTTTTCACTTTTTTTTTAAATCAATTTTATAAAAGTTTTCTTTTTTTTATAATTTAGACACTAATAATCATATACTATACTATACTCGTTTTTTTACCTTTGAAGTTTGTTGTTAATAGCTTAATTAATTTATATACACAATTTTAATGAGTTAAATGTTTTTGTTTTTTACTACTTGTTTAAATGGAAGAATATTTAGCTGCCAGATCCATATGCCGATCTCTGGATGAATCCCTTGCGGTTGATGACATTATTTTACGACCTCTACGTGAGGAACATGAGAAAGATTTCATATGATCTTCTGCCACGACATCATCCGTTGTTGTTGTTGTTGTGGGGGAATTATTTAAGTGAAATCTTTTCGTTGATGATGTTGGAGTTTGGGTGGCCATATTTGAGAAACGTCTGTAGGTATTAAACGTTAACGGAGACGATGAATTGGCATCATCGATTAAAGCTCGTTTGGTTAAGGATATTTTTGTTGTTGCAGCTGCTGCTCCTAAATGATGTTGTGTTTTTATTTTATATATGTATTTGTTTTTTTAAATTCAATTTTATTTAAAATTTTATTTAATAATTATTAGTTTTAAATGATTTAAATGATGAAAAATTTATGGTATAATTATTTTGAGTGTGTGTGTGTGTTTGTTTATAACAATTATATATATGATTTTAGTTTATATAAAAGAAATTTTGTTTTTTTTTTTTTTTTTTTTTTTTTTTTTCAAACATTTATATTTAAATGATGATAAACAATTATTTATTGAGTTGGTTGGTATGTACATTTTAGCAATAGATGACTGAATTGATTTAATATTTTTTTCTTGGTTTGTTTGTATTGTAGTAGTTGCAATGTTTTATTATTATTATTTTTTTCAATAGAACAATTATTTGATTTGATTTGTTAGTTGTTGTAGTTTTAGTCACTGTACTTGTATGCGTGATACAATAATAAAATTTATTATAATTTTAACAATACAATTAGAATTATAGAAAAATAAATATTTAAATTAAATAAAAAATTCATACATTCATGAAAGATTTATATTATACAATTGATATATATTTTTTTAATTAAATTGTTGTTGTAGTTGTTGTAATTATTGTTTTAAGTATATGATTGGAAAAAAATTATATGTATATTAAGCAGAGAAAGGCAAATTATAAAAATAGAGTTTTGAAAAAAAATTAAAATATATGATATTAAGAGTAATAAAATCAGATATAAACATCCCATAGACATTTTCCCGAAGCAACATTACAGAGATCACAACGTCAAGTTACGAATTTTTAAGGTCAGTCTCTCTGATCTGGCTCTCAACAGATCAAACTCAGATTTGACAAGAAGAACAACTTTTTTTTCCTAGAAAAACTCAAGCTAATCTGTTTATTTATGAGGTTCTTGCTAAAGTATTTAGTTCAGTTTTAAACCCAGCAGTTCGGTCGGAGAGTTTCGAACTACATATTTAACCTATCACTTAGAATTACTCCTAGCTACCGACTGTCCAGGTGATTAGCTATTTTAACTTGTGCTTGTTCTATGAGTAAGTCAATCGTCACCTCATAGATTACGAAGAGACATACAAAGAACTTAAGTTTGTTCTTTAAGTGTCCCCTGTGCTTGTTCTACGAGTAAGTCAATCGTCATCCCATAGATTACGAAGAGACATACACAGAACTTAAGTTTGTTCTTTAAAGTGTCCCCTGTATCGGACACTAAGAGTACATTCGTTCTCGTTTACAAAGAGTACATTCGTGACGAAAGACGAATTAGAACCAAACAGGTGGTCAGATGTTAGTGGAAATCATTGTATTTTTCGGATTCATTGACTCTTTGTCGAATTGCTGGTATAGTTTTCACACAACCACAACGTCTAGTAAACAATACCTTCAGTATTTTAAGTCTGGGTCCCAGCAGTTCGACAAAGAGTCAATGCATTCGAAGAAGACAGTGATTTGCACTAACCTCTGACCACCTGGTTGGCTCTAAATCGTCTTTCGTCACGAATGTACTCTTATGAAGATAATCGTGTTAGAGAGAGTGTACACTTAAAGACTAACTTAAGCTTTTTGTCTGTCTCGTCGTAATCTATGGGGTAAACATGGATTTCCTCGAGGATAAGCGCATAAATGTCGAAATGCTTTACGTAAACACCTGCCATGTTGGCCCATTTCATGGTGGTCTTTTCCATCCACTGGGTAAGCTAAAAATATAATGACTCACCACCGCCCCTTTGTGCTTCCTTACAGGCAGGTGGCAATTTACGTATATGGATGCTGGTCCATTATACGCGCACTTTGCTCAAGTACTTGAGCTATCTAATCTCTTGCCATAGTAGTCACATTGAGGAATAACAGGTGTCATGAGCAAGCTCAATCTAACCCCGACAAAGGAAAACCTTATATGTCGCTCAATCACACTACTGAGACGGCTCTGTTGATTCGGCAACATCACCTAGGAGACGTAATTGGTAGGCCGAAACAGGGATCATTTTAACTGATAAGCTTTATTTCAGTGGCCACAAAGACCCACTGTGATAAGTTGAGCATGTTTTAGAGTAAACTCTAACACACTCAACCATGAAGGAAAATCGCCGATAAATAAAAGAAAGGGCAAAACCTTTATTCAGCACCCAATAAGCCACAAATCACTCCATCCGTCAAATCCATCAATTACTACATCCGCTTTATCGAATCAGAATACACATCAAAAAGCACCAGAAGAACTCCACCTCGTATACCCAATCTTTGCATTATCAGCTCAAATCCAACATTTTATTAATCCACGGTCATGCTTTGTAGTTTGTACCGCTCCAAGAATCTAGGAACGATAACAGAAATTCATCATGAAAATTATATTTCACCGTGTATCAGTCTTTTAACCAATCACCCCTTCCTGCGATTTAGGTTTCAACCACAGCCACTACGTGGATCCCGAAGGAACCTCAATCAACTGACCAGCCAGAATAAGTCATGTGGGCAACTGGCCACCCGTAGTACCAGATTATGTGGTGCTCTGATTAGACCTATTTTCAAATCATGCAATGACTAGTTTGGGCAGTGAAAATGTAAACAACCAGTTTATAGTCCCGGCAGACTAGAGGAACTGGTAGCACCTCTTTACCCCGGGATTGCAATACACTATGATGGGACATTTCATCATGGAAACATGATCCGGGGTGGGCAAGACAAGCGCATGTGAAATGACCATATAGCCAAAAAAAATTCCGGAATTTCCTTTACATTCCCTACAAAATTTAAAAGAAAAGTTTTGATCCAACAAATATAGGACGTCAATCGCAACAGACATTTAGACAATATTCCTGTTTAACTTCCTCAGATCCGATAATCTACACGAAATGTTTAAGGTCAGTTACTTAGCAGAGTATAAAAAGATTATATTTATCATGATATTCCGATTATAACTCATACGATAATGAGGCCCTATGCGAAACTTGACGGTTAGACATAACAGAACATACCCTTAAGCTCTTTCTAGCTCTGAAGATCTAGTAAAGCATAAAACTGCAAATCATATGACTGAAAGATCATATTAAATATATTTTTTAATAGGAAACGTTCTCCTAATGTATGATGCACGAATGCATGCGAAACTCGTTGCTCGAACAAATTCAGGATTAACTCAATATTCACATTTTTTTAAAATACTCGTGGAAGATTCCAAAGAATAGTTCTGATCAAACAATTACACGTCGTACCTCTCCTGTTGCCCACCTAATCGGACAGAGTTTTAGCGCAGTTTTAATTCATTGTGTTTACGAAGGTCGTGATAACTCCCAGACATGATGTCTTAAAACTTGACTATATAACATCATAATTCTTCTCATACAAAACCACTTACGACATGTTCTTTTGTATCCATTATCTCCCAAAAGGTAGTTTCTTGTGGAAATTGACTTCTGAAAGTTTGCACTGTTCTCTCCTCTATTCAAAGCCATCTCCTATAAATCTTACCTGATCTGAGTTTTCTTGGTAATCATTCATGGTCAGATATTTAGCATAGTGACATCTCCCAGGCAAGATATCCTGAACGAAAGCTTGAACGTCGGACATCATTAAACTTCTCCTCAAAACTTTTAATAGCTATCTTCTCTTTGCACCAAGCCTGGTTGGTTCACTGGATCGGGATAGGTCCCTCAAAAAGTCGATGCAAAATTCGTCGCTCGAATAAACTCAGGATTAACTCAATATTCAAATTTTTTTAAACATCCTCGTAGTAGATTCCAAAGAATAGTTCTGATCAAACAATTATACGCCGTACCTCCTGATCGAACGGAGTTTTGGCGCAGTGGTAATTCATTGTGTTTACCAAGGTCGTGATAACTCCCAGGTATGATGTCTTAGAACATGACTATATGACATCATAATTCTGCTCATACAGAAGAACTTACGACATGTTCTTTTGTATCAATCATCTTCCGAAAGGTAGTTTCTTGAGGAAATAGACTTCTTAAAGTTTGCACTGTTCTCTCCTCTATTCGAACCCATCTGTAAATCTTACCTGATCTGAGTTATCTTGGCAATAATTCATGATCAGATATTTAGCATAGTGAGATTTCCCTGGCAAGATATCCTGAACGAAAGCTTGAACGTCGGACATCATTAAACTTCTCCTCAACTAAGCACATGGCGAAAGGAAATGTCCTTCTGAAAGTTTGTACTATTCTCCGTATTGACCTGTATGATCTAATCTATTCTTCGTTGTCTTTGCGTGAAGTCTGGTTCGTTCACTGGATCGGGATAGGTCCATCAAAAAGTCGATGCAAAATTAGAAACAGTCGCTCAGGATCATTGACCCTAATGCACAGGTTGGTTCAATCATAACTATCTATTCAAATACACTTGTAGTTTTTTTTTATTCGATATTCATAATCATACTTCTGTGGACCAAAAAGTTGCTTTAACCTTGAATAATTTTGGGAAATATTGCAAATTATTTTTAAATGAAGTAAAAAGAAACCACTACGAGTGTTGTACGCAAAAAGGTCATGAGACTGACAACAGTCATGATACCAGCCAGCATACGTTGCTTTTCGACTTATTTCAAGAACATCGATTCCCAACCAATCTCTACAACTCGAGCCTGACAACAGTCATGATACCCTCCAGCATACGTTGCTTTTCGACTTATTTCAAGAACATCGATTCCCAACCAATCTCTACAATTCAAGCTTCACTGAGACTCGTGAGACTGACGACACTCATGATACCCGACAGCATACGTTGCTTTTCGATTTATTACAAGAACATCGATTCCCAACTAATCTCTACAACTCGAACTTTACAAAGAATTTAAAAGTTGTTTATATTATACAAGGACTAGTTAAAAGCACTTTTTGAAAAAAATTAAAATAAATTGTTGAATAATATTTTGCTTCTAAGGCCTAACACTTTTATGATTCTCGAAATCGTGGTTCTGATTATATCATGTTGTTTTATAAGTATCTTTGAAATGATAATCTATTACTCCAAATATCACATAAATGCAAAATAAAAAGCTTCAAACAAAAAGCATAATTATAATAATATAAAATCTATTGCAATACATTTATAACAGGACTATCGCAGAAATAAAATATCATAAGTTTTTTTTTTATAATAAAAACAAGTAAAAAATCTACATCTTAATCTCTTAATTATTTGTATAAAAAATTTAATTAACACTTAAACATTTAGCAATGAAGAACAAATTTAAAGATATATTTTGTTCTAAATGAATTCTGTATGATTTTTTGTATTTCTTTTTTTTTTTGTATAATAAATATATGTATATGCAGTGAAACATTACTGACACATTTATATATATGTATATAGAGAGAAAATATGCATATGTATGTAGATAGTTTTAAAAATGATGAACGACAGACAGACATACACAAATATAGATAATGATGAGAGTGATATAAGTTTCTGAAGATGTTGTTTTATTAATTGTTTTGTTTTTTGTGGGTGGTCATGAATAGCATGATATGTACATCATCGTCATACCGATCGGCTGATGGGGCAGCTCGCTCCCGTGTTATATGATACTCTCACGATTTCTTTCCATTTCTTCCGTTTCATGTTCTGGATCTAGACTTGATGTCGATGAGACACCGCATATTTGCATTTCAATTTCAGCCAAACGATTTTCCAAATCCCATTGTTGTTGTGATAGTTTTGTATTTAATGCTTGATTTTCCGATTCTACTGTATGTAGCCGTTCACGCAAACGTTTGATTTCATCTTCTAAAGCTTCGTGTGATCCCAATAGGGGTGTTGTGCCGCCACCTACTACACTGGCTACGGAGGTTCCGGTACCGTAACAATCCAAGTGAGAACTAGAGTCGCAAATGTGACCTGTAATGAGAAATATAGAAAACAGTTATAGTAAGTAGTCATATTTTGAGAATATGTAATCTGAGACTTAATGGGCCGCTCTTCACAGAAATCGTAGACCGATAGTGCATTTTAGCGTCAAACAAACCTAATAAAAAAATCCAGTAAGAAATTATAGTAGGGAGAGGACGACCTATTTCCCCTTCTGAAAATGACTTGATGGTCAAAATTCACTTATAAACGCTAATATCACAATGACATGTTACATCCTGATATTCCTCCCTCTTCCAAAATGTAAAAGGATAGGACCATATTAATACCCTGCCCCCATATAACCCCTCTTTTAGAAAATCACTTTTTTGTCAACAAATTGTCGAAATATTTCTGAATTAAGGTGAAAATGACATTAAATACTTTATATTTAAAATACATAATCAAAAATTTTTAACATAATCGCTGGTGTAGGGTATCATATAAATTCTTACTTGTTTCTGTGTAGAAAAGCAAGAATCTTAAATCTGGCAACACTGCTTACTAGCCTAGACTAAAACCTCTGGATTGAGAAGAAATCATTTATAAAATGAAAATTTCGTGGAAAAATTGTTCTGAAATTTTTGCTCAGAACTTTGGATGAAATATTGGAGCCACCTCAATTCTGATTCATTTTCGGAATCAGCATAGTCTTTAATACAAAATTGAGCCACCCGTGACCTCAAGATTCCTACATAAAACAAAAAAATATTGGTCTCAGGTCCATTCTGACTTCATTTTCATTTTCAGCCTGGGGATTTACCAGAAAGGTGATTTTCCAGCAACATTCGGCAAAGTAGTTAGTTAGTTAGTTAGTTATTAGTTAGTTAGTTAGTTAGTTAGTTAGTTAGTTAGTTAGTTAGTTCGTTCGTTCGTTCGTTCGTTCGTTCGTTCGTTCGTTAGTTCGTTCGTTAGTTCGTTAGTTAGTTCGTTAGTTAGTTCGTTCGTTCGTTCGTTCCGTTAGTTCGTTCGTTAGTTCGTTAGTTTCGTTATTCGTTCGTTACGTTCGTTCGTTCGTTTCGTTCGTTCGTTCGTTCGTTAGTTTCGTTCGTTCGTTCGTTCGTTGCGTTCGTTCGTTCGTTCGTTTCGTTCGTTCGTTCGTTCGTTCGTTCGTTCGTTCGTTCGTTCGTTTCGTTCGTTCGTTCGTTCGTTCGTTCGTTCGTTCGTTCGTTCGCGTTCGTTCGTTCGTTCGTTCGGTTCGTTCGTTGTTCGTTCGTTCAGTTCGTTCGTTCGTTCGTCGTTTTCGTTCGTTTCGTTCGTTCGTTCGTTCGTTCGTTCGTTCGTTCGTTCGTTCGTTCGTTCGTTCGTTCGTTCGTTCGTTCGTTCGTTCGTTCGTTCGTTCGTTCGTTCGTTCGTTTCGTTCGTTCGTTCGTTCGTTCGTTCGTTCGTTCGTTGTTCGTTCGTTTCGCGTTCGTTCGTTCGTTCGTTTCGTTCGTTCGTTCGTTCGTTCGTTCGTTCGTTCGTTCTTCGTTCGTTCGTTAGTTCGTTCGTTCGTTCGTTCGTTCGTTCGTTCGTTCTTCGTTTCGTTCGTTCGTTCGTTCGTTCGTTCGTTCGTTCGTTCGTTTCGTTCGTTCGTTCGTTCGTTCGTTCGTTAGTCTTCGTTTCGTTCGTTCGTTCGTTCGTTCGTTCGTTCGTTCGTTCGTTCGTTCGTTCGTTCGTTCGTTTCGTTCGTTTCGTTCGTTCGTTCTTTCGTTCGTTCGTTTCGTTCGTTCGTTCGTTCGTTCGTTCGTTCGTTCGTTCGTTCGTTCGTTCGTTGTCGTTCTTCGTTCGTTCGTTCGTTCGTTAGTTCGTTTCGTTCGTTCTTCGTTCGTTTCGTTCGTTCGTTCGTTCGTTTCGGTCTTCGTTCGTTCGTTCGTTCGTTCGTTCGTTCGTTCGTTCGTTCGTTCGTTCGTTCGTTCGGATTTCGTTCGTTCGTTCGTTTCGTTCGTATCGTTCGTTCGTTCGTTAGTTTCGTTCGTTCGTTCGTTCGTTCGTTCCGTGTTCGTGTGCGTTAGTTCGTTCGTTCGTTCGTTCGTTCGTTCGTTCGTTCGTTCGTTCGTTCGTTATTCTTTCGTTCGTTCGTTCGTTCGTTCGGTCGTTTCGTTCGTTCGTTCGTTCGTTCTTTGTTCGTTCTTTGTTCGTTCGTTCCATTCTTCGTTCCTTCCTTCGCTCTGTCCTCTCCTTTCCCTGTTCTCCCGTGGTTGTGCCTGGTGGTCTCGTTGCCTGCTGTGCTGATTGTCCTAAGCTGGCCTATCATCTTAACTGTGCACACTGGGACTTAAAGAACCGGGTGATTCTGTAGTACGTTGTATACGTTCAATATATGTTTGACTAGAACGTGGACTAGGAGCTCGACTAAAAGTAAATAATAAAATTAAAGTGTTTTTTAGTATTGCAATATTAATAAGAAACAGTTATTTGCTTTCGACACTAACCTATATGCCAAATTTTGTAAATGTTGCTGCTGTTGTACTTGATCGTGTGGCGTTTGACGCTGTGTTTGTTGTTGTTGTTGCTGCTGTTGCAATAGCACAGAATGTGGCACTAATGGTGGCTGTGGCAAATACATATCTTCTAATGTAGTACGACCACAACTTTCCACCAAGCCCGGTGTTGACTGACATCGACCCATGGCAACTGTATTAAAGTATTGTACTGTATTGTATTTTTCGTATACAAATAAATAAATAGAATTTAAATTTCTTTTCGGTTGTCTTTTTTCTGGTTTTCAAATTATTTTTTTTATGTTAATGTATGTTATTATAATGTATTTAAATGTTGTTTAATGTTTGTTTTTTGTGCAATGAGCAATTAATTTAATAAATGAAAATAATTAAGTGATTTAGTAGAGAAATGAATGAATGAATGTTTGATGTAGAGGTGGTATGTTAAATTTTGAGAGAGTTGGTGAGCTAGAAATTTTGATGTAGCGAATTTTATGTTTCCTTTAATGATTTTTTTAATGTTATTGATGAATGCTTGTAAATACCTTTTTCCAATGGTGCTTTTTTATATTTCTCTAAACGTTTAACAGCAATTGATTCCAGTCGTACACGTGCGGCGGGATATTCCTTTAAAAAACGTCCCACATATCCTTTTTGCTCAGCACGAATAAATCACTGTAACCCACGGAACGTACAGATGCTGTACGACGATTACCTGTGAACATCAATGTTGTAATGATGTTGATTTTATTAAAAAAAAAAAACAGGATTAAAAAATATAGAAAAAATAAAAATAATGAATTATTTTTTTTCGCAGTAGTTGTTGAAACACATAATTAATTTTTGTTAAATTTTAATTGGAATTTAATAAATTAGAATAAATGATAATTAAATAATATCTAATTAAATATGTATGTAACATGCTATTTGTATGCTGATAAATAAATAAATAACTATGTATGGATTTTGTTTATAGTTTTTATTTAACACCTGCACATTAGACTGGCTCCAAAATATACATATGAGGAAGTAATTTCAAAGAGAAATATATTTCTAGAGTACATAGTCCTGAATATAGGCTGGACTATGATCTAGTATACAGTCAGGACTATAGTCTGGTCTATTGTCTAGTCTCTAGTACGGACTATACTATGGACTATAGTATGAACTATAGACTGCAATATAGTATGGACTATAGATTAAACTTTAGTCAAAACTGAATTATGGTCTACTCTGAACAATATTCTATAATCTAGACTATATTGTGGACCATAGTCTGGACTGTAGTCTATAGTCTAGTATATAGAGTGGACTATAGTCTAGTCTATAATCTCGGCTATAGTCTAGTCTATAGTCTAGTCTATAGTCAAGACTATAGTCTTGTATATAGTCTGGACTATTGTCTAGTCTATAGTCTGGACTATTGTCTAGTCTATAGTCTGGACTATAGTCTAGTCTATAGTCTAGACTACAATCTAGTCTATAGTCAGGACTATAGTCTGGTCTATAGTCTGGACCATAGTCTAATCTATAGTCTAGACTATTGTCTAGTCCGAACTTTAGTCTAGTCTATAGTCTGGACTATAGTCTAGTCAATAGTCTGGACTATATTCTTGTCTATAGTCAGGACTATAGTCTAATCTATAGTCTGGACTATAGTCTAGTCTATAGTCTGGATAATAGCCTAGTCTATAGTCTGGACTATAGTCTAGCCTATAGTCTGGACTATAGTCTAGTCTATAGTCTGGACTATAGTCTAGTCTATAGTCTGGACTATTGTCTGGTCTATAGTCTGGACTATAGTCTAGTCTATAGTCCATACTATAGTCTAGTCTATAGCCTGGACTATATTCTAGTCTATAGTCAGGACTATAGTCTAGTCTATAGTCTGGACTGTAGTCTAGTCTATAATTTGGACTATAGTCTAGTCATTAGTCTGGACAATAGTCTAGTCTATAGACTGGACAATAGTCTAGACTATAGTCTGGACTATATTCTAGTCTATAGTCAGGACTATAGTCTAGTCTATAGTCTGTACTATTGTCTAGTCTATAGTATGGACTATAGTCTAGTCTATAGTCCATATTATAGTCTAGTCTATAGTCTAGTCTATAGTCTGGACTATTGTTTAGTCTATAATCAGGAACATTGTATAGTCTATAGTCTGAACTATAATCTAGTCTATAGTCTGGACTATAGTCTACTCTATAGCCTGGACAATAGTCTAGTCTATAGTCTGGACAATAGTCTAGTCTATAGTCTTTACAATAGTCTAGTCTATAATCTGGACAATAGTCTAGTCTATAGTCTGGACTATAATCTAGTCTATAGTCTGGACTATTGTCTAGTCTATAGTCTGGACTATAGTCTAGTCTATAGTCTGGACTATAGTCTAGTCTATAGTCTGGACTATAGTCTAGTCTATAGTCTGGACTATAGTCTAGTTCTAAAGTCTGAACTATAGTCTAGTCTATAGTCTGGACTATAGTCTAGTCTATAGTCTGGACTATAGTCTAGTCTATAGTCTGGCCTATAGTCTAGCCTATAGTCTGGACTATAGTCTAGCTTACAGTCTGGACTATAGTCCACTATAGTTCTAGGACTATAGTTCTGGTACTTCCTATTTATACGATATCGTGCTTTCAGCAGACAGACGTAGTACATAGCTAAATCGTCTGTATCTAATGAGGCCCAAAGTGGAACTAAAGATTTGTATGTAAATTTAAATCTTTATTTGCTGCAGCAGTCTAATGTAAATAGTTCCTATCAGTCTAAAGTTCTATATAAAAAGATAAATATTATGTGATATTATATAATAATGAAAATTTATTAGTGTAAGTTTGGGGGAGGAATTTTAATTATCGTTTCAATTATAACAATTGCAATGAGAGACATGCATAAACACGTTTAAATTCATTTAATATTAATATATTTTTTGCTGATCCCTGATAGTTATTATCTATTGAAAATTGGATTAAATGCATTATTATATTTTTAAGTATTTTTAAATTATTTATATGTAGACAATAAGGCACAGTATGACGTCACAGTAATTTTTAATACAAAAGTAAACTTTTATTAAATAAGGAGAAATTACTATGAACATGAGACGTATAATCAGCCGCGTAGTTTATATGTTCCCAGAAAGATGGGAAATGGGTTTAGGACACAAATACATACTTTGACTAAATTTACAGGGTCTCATTAATAATAACTTATTAAAGGTTTATAGAATAATTTTTTTATTATTTTATTTTTATTCGATAAATTTGCATGATTTTCTAATTTCAATTTCTCCATTAATTCGTGACCTTTCTATTGTTGGAAAATTTGCTTTATTATATATATATGTGTTCTCTAAACCAATTAAAATGCATGAGTGTATATGTGTGAATTGGATATGTGCTTCGTGCAAAATGTTTTATTTTATTTTTCTAATCGTAACTAAAAAGCATTCATCGAATCCACAAAAAATTCTATTTGATTTTTGCAAAAATAATTTTTGATTTTTTACGCTTAATTAAAACAAATAAATATTTTATGCATCAAATATTTAATGTTGATGAATGGGGGGGATAAAATAACACAAAAACTCAAAAATAATTTAATGAAAATAAACAAAATTTTATTTTGAAAAACCAAAAAAAAATAAAACTAATAAAACAAATCAAAATAGAACAAATTTAAATAAATCAAAAATAAAACTAAAAATATTACCATAAAGGTTACTAAACAAATACAAACAACAGTTTTGGATTTTTTTAATACGGCCAGGCATAGCAATACAATAAATAGAAAAATTATTATTGAGAAAATTGGAAAAAGGGGGAGGAGTCTGTCTTTTTTTGTATTTGGTTTAAAATAGGTGGTAATAATAGTTAACACACAAATACATATACATTTCATACAAATATTTAATACTAAACATTTTTTTAAACTAAAAATTGTTTTTTCTATTTTTCTAGGGTTTTAAAACTTAATAACTATTTATGTGGAAATATTTTATTTTTAAAACGTATTTGTGCAATTATCTTATTATTAAATACGAAAAAAATTTAAATTGTTTTATTCAGCTCGATTTGTTTGTTATAAAATATTTACAAAAGGCAAGTTCAAGTTTTTTAATTTTATTATTGTTTAAGGAGTCCGTTAGTCCGTATAAAAATCTGGCTGGAAATATCCGGTAAAACCACGATTTTAAATTTCAGTCCACGATAACATTCCATTTGGGGTTTCTAACAATATTTAACATTTGGAGAAATAGTAAAACAATAAAGCGATCGTAGAACATTTAAAGTTTATGGAAAAGTTAGGTCCATATTGAGGTAAATGCAGAGGTTCAAGAACAGTATTCACCATAAATTAGATAGTAGTCTTGAGTAGAATCTGAACTGTAGTGTTGACTGTATTTATGTAGTCTTATCATTGTTATACCCTTGGCTATAATCTTGACTACAGCCTTGGTTAACCTTTTTTATAACTAACTAACTAACTAACTAACTAACTAACTAACTAACTAACTAACTAACTAACTAACTAACTAACTAACTAACTAACTAACTAACTAACTAACTACTAACTAACTAACTAACTAACTAACTAACTAACTAACTAACTAACTAACTAACTAACTAACTAACTAACTAACTAACTAACTAACTACTAACTAACTAACTAACTAACTAACTAACTACTAACTAACTAACTAACTAACTAACTAACTAACTAACTACTAACTAACTAACTAACTAACTAACTAACTAACTAACTAACTACTAACTAACTAACTAACTAACTAACTAACTAACTACTAACTAACTAACTAACTAACTAACTAACTAACTAACTAACTAACTAACTAACTAACTAACTAACTAACTAACTAACTAACTAACTAACTAACTAACTAACTAACTAACTAACTAACTAACTAACTAACTAACTAACTAACTAACTAACTAACTAACTAACTAACTAACTAACTACTAACTAACTAACTAACTAACTAACTAACTAACTAACTAACTAACTAACTAACTAACTAACTAACTAACTAACTAACTAACTAACTAACTAACTAACTAACTAACTAACTAACTAACTAACTAACTAACTAACTAACTAACTAACTAACTAACTAACTAACTAACTAACTAACTAACTAACTAACTAACTAACTAACTAACTAACTAACTAACTAACTAACTACTAACTAATACTAACTAACTAACTAACTAACTAACTAACTAACTAACTAACTAACTAACTAACTAACTACTAACTAACTAACTACTACTAACTAACTAACTAACTAACTAACTAACTAACTACTAACTAACTACTAACTAACTAACTAACTAACTAACTAACTAACTAACTACTAACTAACTAACTAACTAACTAACTAACTAACTAACTAACTAACTAACTAACTAACTAACTAACTACTAACTACTAACTAACTAACTAACTACTACTAACTAACTAACTAACTAACTAACTAACTAACTAACTAACTAACCTAACTACTAACTAACTAACTAACTAACTAACTAACTAACTAACTAACTAACTAACTAACTAACTAACTAACTAACTAACTAACTAAACTAACTAACTAACTAACTAACTAACTAACCTAACTAACTAACTAACTAACTAACTAACTACTAACTAACTAACTAACTAACTAACTAACTAACTTACTTAGTTACT